GACCAAGCTGAGCTCACCCTCCTGTGTCACCAGGCTCTGTTGGCAGTGCTGGATTTGAGCTTAAGGTCATTGAAGCCACAACACAATCTTACCCCACGTTCCTGTGAGTAGTTTTTTTTAAGACAAAGGGTGCCCTTTCATCCCCCACTCAGTGAGTCAGCGGGGATTGCGAATGAGCCCACAGCGATTCCCATCTCTTAGTCACAAGAGGTTGCTTAAGGAGATTGTTCCTGATCCTTTGTTCTACCCAGTCTCTTTTTTTTTTTTTTTTCATGAAACACGATTTTCTCTGGGCTTTTCTGAAATTAGGTTTGAATTGGCCAATGGCTTCAGAAGTTACAGAATCCCAGAATGGTTTGGGTTGGGAAGGACCTTAAAGCCCATCCAGTCCCACGCCTGCCATGGGCAGGGACACCTTCCACCAGCCCAGGTTGTTCCAACCTGGCCTTGGACACTTCCAGGGCTGGGGCAGCCACAGTTCTGGGCATTCGACCACCCGAGGAAACAGAACTGGAAATACAAAATGGACCAAGCCTGGGTGTTCCTGGGTGATGGGAGGACATCTGAGTCCTGCATTCCAGTGCGATCCCCCCTTGGATATACGTGCCCTTCCTGCTGTGGGATCAACGAACATAGTCACAGTAAAATTCCTGGCCAGTTGTGTTCAGTTCTGCTAAAATGTCTTGCAGCAGTAATTGCTCAGTTTTCCTTCCACAGCAGCACCTGTGACCCTGAGAAATGTGGCAACTGTGATAGATTTTTGATTAATTTCTGCTTTGGTTTTGTTTTTCCAAACAGTTGAATTAAAATTTCCACCTTGCTGTTTAGATTTGAAGCTTTACTGTTGTTGTTTTTTGTAATTCCTAAGCCTTTGCTGTTTGTACCTTGCACTTGCAGAAGCCTTGGAGCTCCTGTGCCTGCACATGTCTCAGTCTGTGCATTCACAATCCTGGGGGAAAAAAACCCGGTACCTTCACACCTGTGTTGGTGGTGTCACTTGTGAGAAGTTTCTTGGCTCGTTTGTGCATCTCTCAGTCGTTCCCTTTCACAGACCCCCCAGCATTTCTCCCCTTTCAGTTTTATTCTGCAGAGCTTTGTTCCTGCTGATCCACACACCAGATGCCACTGTATTTTCTGGATGCCTGAACTCTCCACTCAAAACCTGTTGTGTGGCTTTTCTGTGGAGCTGATTGAACATGGGCTTTTGTGTGCCAGGGAATCAAGGGACTGCTAAGGCTGGAAAAGACTTTTAAGATCAAGTCCAACCACCAACCAGCACGACCACGGTCACCAATAAGCCTGTTCTCAAATGTCACATTCCAAGTGTTTCTTGAACACTTCCAAGGATGGGGACTCCACCACTTCCATCCCAACGCTTTGCAACCCTTTCCATGAAGAAATTTTCCTCAATATCCAGCCTGAACTACCTGGCACAGCTTGAGGCCATTTCCTCTCATCCTGTGCCTTGTTGATGTGCCTGACGCCCACCTTGTCCCCAGCCCAGAGCACTGAGTGCCACTGCCAGTCCTTCCTGGGACACCTCCAGGGCTGGGGACTCTAAACCCCCCTGGGCAGCCCCTGCCACCAGCACCCCCAGGGCCTTTCCCACTGGGCACTTTCCATCTGCTCTTTGGTTGCCGGAGGTTGTGGTGCCCAAGTGCCCTGTGTCCCCCTAGGGTGTGATTTTTTTAAAATTATTTTCATTTTGCCAGTAGAAACTCTTCTACAGTTTCCTTTGTGCTGCAAAAAAAGGAGCGTTTTCACTGGTGTAGCCAATGAGGGCTGCCCAGGAGAGTCCTGAGAACTGTCTTAGTCCAGAACAGGAAAAGGTGTGCGATGCCAAAGCCCATGTGTCAGCAAATCTCTTTTTTTTTTTGGTGATGTGTGCTTTGCCCCAGCACATAGTTGGATTATATTTGTACAAAGTGGAGTTTTCCTGGTGCAGTTTCATTCTCCTTGGAGCTCTGTGCCAACCAGGGAGGCTGGAATCCTTCCTCAGCCAACGGTGCTGAGGTAGGACTGACCTCAGGAACATTCCCTGGTGCAAAACCTGCAAAATGAATCTGTACTTGAGAGTTTTGCTGACTTTAATATCACCAAGCTGCACAGTTCTCCTAAAGGGAGAATTAGTGCCAGCAAAAGGAGCCTTTGGACAGCTGGGAAATTGGGTTGGGATTGCCACAAAAAGACTGGTGGTGGCTTCACCTCCATGGAAGGGTGTGGGCTAATTCTGACAGCTGCTAACATGAAGATATTACATTACTATTAATTATTACTTCTACTGATGTAATAATTAAAATATATTAATAAAATAAGACTGGGATAAATCCCAAAGGTTTCATCTCCTAAAGTCCAGCCTGTACCCAGAGGAGACAAATCCGCTCTTTCAGAATATTTTTAAAATACGAAGCAACACTGAGAAATCTTCTCTAAACCTGCAGCGTGCTGGGATGCAGATCCAGCACTTTGCAAGGCAAAGCTCCAGCAAACAAAACTTAATGGTTTAAAAAAAAAAAAAATCCTGTCAAAATGCAGCTTCTCAAAAGGTTATTTTGCCAACCTTCTGTTGGAGTGGTTTTAAGATTTATTAGAGGCTGAGGCTTGGCTCATGACAGAGCAGCTTAAGCTGGTATTTCACATGCACAGTTCATGTCTCAGCATCTGCTGAGCACCCAAAATAAATGAGCTCCAAGGTCACCTCTTGGATCTTAAATCACAGCCTTTCTGAGCAGATCTGCTGCTATCCCTGGTCCTCAGCAGCAAGACGGACAAACCTTTAAGCGGTTTAAACTCCTCCTTCCTGCTGCCCCACTCCAAATTAAATCACCTGGCACTAATTGGCACGTTCCCAGTGCCTGAAGCCCTCGGACTTCCAGTGATCTCCAAACAAATTAACTGTGGAACAAGTCGGGAAGCAGCTCGGGGAGAGCTGCCTGGTGGAAGCAGAGGATCAAAGCACAAAGCTGGAAAACGAACTCCTGAAGTGCTAATTAGTCCTAATACCTTTGAAAGGGAGAGAATTAACCTGTCACATTCTGATTATTTAAAGGGAGGTGGGGCCGCTTGGATCTTCACTGAGGAAACCAGCGAGAAAGCCTGGAACTGCCTGGGGTGGTTTAGGAAGTTCCAGTCCAAACTTGAGGAAGAACCAGGTAGGATGGGTGGGTTTTCTGGGTCTGGGTTGTGTCTGCCTTGCTCCCTAAGCAAAAGGACATTCCTGCTTTCTCCCTTTCCCAGAAGGAGAGGCCCAGCAGCCCCAGGGCAGTGAGCTGGGATCCAGCTTTTCCAGGAGACCAGCTGAGCTTGGGCAAGTCATGCCCAAAAAGTGCTGACCTGGCTCTCAGCTGGACCTGAAGAACCCAAATCCTTAATCACAGGTGGAAAGGAGAATCCAGCTGGTGCCTTCTGTCCTCCACCTTCCTGTCAACACATCCTCCTGTTTGCTCACTGAATTTGGGACAATGCTCGAGGCACCAGAAACACCCCCCTTTCCCTTCCCCTCCTCCTCAAAGGCACCTCAGAAGCTGGAGTGGCTATTCCTTTCCTGCCTTCGCTCCTCCTCTCCCTCTGCCTTGTCTCTGCTCCCTCTAGTGTTCCTGTGCCGTGCTGCTTTGCTCTCCTGCTCCAGGCAGGGACAACGAGGATTACATTTGGGATTTATTATCCCTTCATTTTGCATCAGGTGGGAATGACATCTGCCTGCCCTGGAAGGGAGAAAATAATTCAGAGCCTCTGCAACCTTCACTTCACCTCCTTGTGCCATCACAGCCCCCACCTGCCACTGACCTGGAGGCCAACTCCAAATTCAGTTGGTTTTATCTTTTTGATTTCATTCTCAGTTCGTGGTTTGGGGCTTTTGTTCACAACCTTAAAATTTCTTTCTAATTCAGGGAACTGGAAATTTAGTAGGACATAACACCTGGGATTAAAGCCTGGGGTTTTGCTAACACTGCAACAACATCCACTGCACCTAAACATTGTGCTCTAGTTCAATTTTGACCCTTTGATTCAGTCTAGATTTTTTTAATTTTTTTTTTTTAATTTGTTGAAGTCTGCTTTTGTAGCCATGAGATGTGCTGTCCTGCTTATTGGCTGGAAATCAAAAAATAGGGAAGGGACTGGGGATCTGTGTCTTGGAATCACTGGATCACTCCAGGGAGAACGTGCAATTAAAAATGGGGACTCATGAGACCTTTCCAGAGTTGTTACTAAAATTTAACTGTTTAAGGTGCTCTAAACCTGTGTGTTGTACAATGTTTATATTCCACGTGCATGGGATTATCTGGAAAAGATCTTTAGGATCATCAAGTCCAACCACCAGTCAGCACCACTACCACGTTCACCACCAAGCCATGTCCACCAGTGCCACATCCTCGTGTTTTTTGAACATTTCCAGGGATGGTAAGTCCTTTCCTGGTGTGCCAGTGCTGAACAACCCTTTTCATGAAGAAATTTTCCCTAATATCTAATCTAAACCTAATATTTCTAATCTCCACAGAATCACCAAGGTTGAAAGAGACCTTCAGGATCATCTAGTCCAGCTGCCAACCCAGCACCACCATAATCACCCCTGAACCATGTCCCTAAGTGCCATACCCAGACACCTCTTGAACACCTCCAGAGAGTGGTGGTGACCCCACCACGTCCCTGGGCCACAGTTGTCCCACTGGTTGTAAACTTAGTCAAAAAAATTAAGACTGGAACAATTGGAAAATCAGTCCAGCAGAAAGTGGTCAGATGACATGACATTAAACCTCTGTGGAGCACCCTGATGTTGGAATCTGCCCTGATCTATGGTTGGGATTCAGAGTTCTAACCATGAGAGGACATGGAATCACAGATTGTTAAGGGGTTGGAAGGGACCTTAAAGCTCATCCAGTCTCACTCCTGCCATGGGCAGGGACACCTCCCACCATCCCAGGGTGCTCCAACCTGGCCTTGGACACTCCCAGGGATCCAGGGCAGCCACAGCTTCTCTGGGCAACCTGTGCCAGGGCCTCCCCAGCCTCCCAGGGAAGAATTCCTTCCTAATATTAACCTAAATTTCCTCTTTCCGTTTGTACCATCACTCCTTGTCCCATCACCGCATTCCTGACGTGCCTGAGATCCACTGGGCAGATCTGGAGTTGGTCATCCAGGGACAAGGATTCCTCTGCTTTCATGGAAGAGTTTCCCTCCCAGATGCCCATTTGCACATGATGAGGAGGGATGCTCTCTCCAGGAGACAGGAATGTTTTCCACAAGTTCCCAGGAGTGGGGGAGTGACAGCTGAAGGCTGAGCCCGTGGTGAGCAGCAGATCTAATTACCACCTTCCTCCACTGATCTAATTACCACCTCCCTCTGCTCACCCTTCCACCCAGCCACTTCCTGAATCTCTTTTTAGGGATTTGGGATTTTTGTCACTCACCATTGGGCTGCAGCACAGCACAGCTTGTCACTGTGTCCTACATGTACTCGTGGTGTCCGGAATTGGACCCAACCTGCAGGAAAATGATGTGCTTACAGCGGGATTTAACTCTGCAGCGCGTCTCTCCCTCTGTGCCTGGTGCAGAGCTGGGTGCCTGTTGCTCCAGGGAAATGGAGCAAATGATTAATAGCCCATCTAAACCCTTCTCCAGGAATACTTGGACCTGTTGCTCGCAGCTCAATGGAGCAGCGTTCCTTGGTGGCAGACACTTCCTCACACATGGAAAACGTGGAAACCCCAAGCTTCCTAAAAGCCCAAAATATTACCCTCCAGCATATGGCACCCAGGAGGTGAGTAAACTTGTCCATTCCTCTGCTGTCGGGCTTCCTGTGGTAGGTTGAAGGTGTTGCTTTGGGATTTCCAGTGCTGGGGTCCCTGCAGGGCAAGGGAAGTGTTTGCTGCCCTGTCATCTGTGCAGGGGAAAGCAGATCCTCTGTTAACCCCTTGGAGACTGTGCTGCAGGAGTATCCTGGCAGCATGAGGGCTGGAGATGGTGATCCACAGGGTGACTTGGCTCCAGATCCCCTGTGTCAGGTGGTGCAGCCCAGTCCTGGGACCCCACTGTGAGGGGGGGTCTCCAGGGGAAGCTGAACACTGAATGTGTTGCTGGAGGGCAGGAGGAGCCCGAAACCTTCTCCCATCACAGCCTCCTAAAGCACCTCTGCTGCTCCACAGCCCTTCCCACAGCCAGGCCTGAACAGCTGGTGGAAGTGCCAGGAACTTCTTCCACGTCAGCAAATGTGGAGAGAAAAATTCCTGAACTTCAAGGGCTTGGAGTGCCAGGACAAGGGGGAATGGTTTTAAACTGCCAGAGGGCAGGGTGAGATGGGATGCTGGGGAGAAATCCTTCCCTGGGAGGGTGGGCAGGCCCTGGCACAGGTTGCCCAGAGAAGCTGTGGCTGCCCCTGGATCCCTGGAAGTGTCCAAGGCCAGGTTGGAACAACCTGGGCTGGTGGAAGGTGTCCCTGCCCATGGCAGGGGTGGGACTGGATGGGCTTTAAGGTCCTTCCCAACCCAAATCAGTCTGGGATTCCATGATTTATTCTCCTGTCTCAAGGTTTTTACAACAGTGCACATCCCACAGGACTCCTCCTAATTTCCACAGCTAAAATGAGAGGAAAACAAGCTTTTCCTCCTGTTTGGTGAAACCACCTATTTCTGTTGATATGCAACTCTCCCAGTAGTTTGAGCTCATTATTGCCATGAGCTGGCACTGCTGAAGGCACCAGTTCCCTTCTCAGTGCAACCCTTTCCCCAGTAACACAAGGGTGTATAGAAGATATTTTGGGCATTTGGGAGCCTATTCTGGCAAGCAAGCAGTCCAGATTGCACTCAGGACAATGTCTCCTCCAGGCCTGGCTCTGTAGGTTTGGGCTTGGAATAAAACAACCTGCAATTTGCTGATAATAATCCATGACCTCTCTGCTTCCCAACAGCTTCCAGAAAGGAGCACATGGGGAATTGGCACCTGAGCTGGCATGGGTGGCACCTGAATGGCACCTGGAATGTGGAATGACAGTCTTGACCCAGGAATGTCCCATTATGTGCTCAGCAGTAATAGATATTTCCCCCTCATTGCTGTGCCCTCCAAGAACACCCTCAGCACAAGGGGGTTATTTCTGGGGGGTTATTTCCAGCCCTGCTGACATTCCAGCAGATCCCATTGCTAAGCCTTGACTGCAGAGTCCTGGCACTGGAAGGGAGCAGAAGTGCTGCTCCTTTTGTTCCACCCAGATGATACCAATCAGTGGCCTCATTAATGACACCTTCATTAAGCTGTGCCAACAACAAACCACTGCCTTTTTTTGGCTCCTCATTCCCAGATCCCTTTTCCCAATGTCACCGTGGGGGGTTGACACAAATTACTGTGCTGCCAGCACAGCTGCCCTGCATAATTGGTTGTTGCATAAAGTTAGAATTAATGATTTTAACAAGTATCAAGGCTGGGATATTTATTAGGAATGCGCCTCTCTATAATGAGCCCCATCTGTTCCAACCCTGATTGCACCGAGAGGATCCTGGGAGGGTGTGGAAGGACAAATCCCAACCAATGTAACTGGAACTCTTCACTGGAAGCTGTGAGTGAAACTGTGATGGCACCAGTGCATCCCATCTGGAGAGGAGAACACTTGTGGTATTCCCTTTTTCACTGATTCCTTGGGAGGTGTTTTCATTGCTCACTGAGGATATTTTGGAACTCTGGAAAGGTTTAGGATCACATCCAGAATAAGCAGATCAGGTTTACTGATGCACAGCTTGCACTCTGGAAAACCTAGAGGAGTTTGCAGCGAAGCAGTTAAACCAATATTTACATTTTCCACTCCTGATTAATGGAAATATCATGGAAGAAAGAGGATGGGAAGCCACAGGAGGATGGATTTTTTTGTTCACTTGTTGTTTCTGCATATCCCAGGTCCTGCCATAAACTGAGAAAGGGAAATCAGATATGTTTTTAAATCGTGGTTTTAAATTCTTTAAACAGAAGGAAATAACAATTCAAGGAGTTTGGCTTTGTTTTACTACATCTGAACATTACCAGACCACAGAGAAACAGTTGAAGGAACTCAACTGATTTGGAGTTTAGGCCAAAGCTCAGAGCTGTGACTCAGAAGGCCTAAGAGAAGGGGAAAAGCCACTGGATGGAGTGGAACAGGTGAATCATAGTCCAGGTCCAGCCATGGAACTTGCAGAACTTGTGTCTTCCACCTCCAAGACACCTGAGCACAATATTCTCCTTTGGTAAAGAGTTTTGGTGTTGCTGTTGCTCATTAATCCTGGGCTCAGGGGGTGCTGAGCTCTGCTGGGGGGAGCTGGAGGAATTCTGAGCACTGACAGCTCACAGGACTCATCCTTCTGCTCTCTGGGGCCTGCACCTCTGATCCCACATGAAAAGCCTTTTTCTTTAGTCATGCCCGAGCAAATTATTGCTCAGAAGGAAGAGGAGGTGGAAGTGAAGGTGCTCCAATGGCCCAGTCTTGTTGCGAAGTGACAGCAGGATCCAGCTCTGCATCCACAGAGCAGATCAGGGGCACTGAAAGCAGCTGTTCCAGAGGAAGGGAATCATCCAACTGCTTTGGATGTCTGAGACACACCCTGCAGACACAGCCAGAGGGAGGGAAGAGCCTCTTTGTTCATCTTCAAGCATTTGTTGTAGCAGAAACCAGAGTGGTACCAAAACGAGCCTTATACAGAACCAACCTCTCTCTCCTTCCTTTTTTCCTTTTTTTCCTTTGTTCCTTTTTTCCTTTGTTCCTTTTTTCCTTTTGTTCCTTTTTTTCTTTTTTCCTTTTTTTCTTTTTCCCTTTTTTCCTTTTTTCCTTTTTTTCCTTTCTTTTTCCTTTCTTTTTCCTTTCTTTTTCCTTTCTTTTTCCTTTCTTTTTCCTCTTCTTTTTCCTCTTCTTTTTCCTCTTTTCTCTTCTTTCCTCTTTTTTTCCTCTTTTTCCTCTTTTTCCTCTTTTTCCTCTTTTTCCTCTTTTTTCCTCTTTTTCCCTCTTTTTTCCTCTTTTCCCTCTTTTTTTTCCCTCTTTTTCCTTTTTTTCCTATTTTTTCATTTTTCCCCTTTTTTCCCTTTTTTCTTTTTTTCCCTTTTTTCCCTTTTTTCCCTTTTTTCTTTTTTTCTCTTTTTTCCCTTTTTTCCCTTTTTTTCCTTTTTTCCCTTTTTTCCTCTTTTTCCCTTTTTTTTCTCTTTTTTTCCTTTTTTTCCTTTTTTTCCCTTTTTTCATGGATCACCAGATATGCAGCTCATCCTCCTCTGTGACCTGGTCCCTTCTCCCTGAGGCAGCACCATGGGGTTTGGGGTTCCCCCAGTCCCTGCAGAGCAGTTCTGCACTCCCTTTTTTTGGACAGGGGGCCCCAGCTCTACTGGTTCCCTGGTGCCACACCCTGCATCCTCACAACCAACATGGACAGGCAGAAAGCACTCCCAAGGAAGGCAGGAAAAATCAGATGTGGAAAGATCTCCTACCTCTCTTTTTTCTCAGTCTGAAGCCTCTGGGTTCTCTTTAGTGCAGGTGCCCCTTGAATCTGCAGTTGGGTGGTTTGATTTCAGCTCCAGGAAAAGCCATTTCCTGGAGATCTGCTCCTCAGTGGGATGGGAAGGGGTGCTCTGGGCTCTTTGGGGTGTCCAAGGCCCCAGGTGGCTTCCTATGCAGGTGTGAGAACAGAGGAGCCCTCGGCCTGATGAAAATCCCGCAGGAAACTTTGCCACCCCTGCAGCTGCCAGTGGGAGTTCTTGTGCTGGTTGTGTTCCTTTGGTGGCCTGGGGACCCTTCTCAGCCTCAGCAGCAGCAGCCTCTGGCCTTGCAGAAGGGATGTTCAGTGGGAGCAGGCGCTGCAGGGTCCTGTGGGATCGTTGTCACTGCCCCTTCCCCACTCAGAGACACCCGAGAGCAGCGGGCTGGGCAGTGCTGCTCCTCCACATCCCCTCCTTTCCCTCCTCTGAGCTTCACTGTCCCTGCTTCCCGGGAAAGGCACCTGATCCAGCACCACCATCCTGCCTGGTCACAGACGGCTGTGGAGAGGAGGCACCTGGCACTTTCCATGGCCCAGATAATGTGGATTGCAGCTCAGAGGGAAAGAGCCGACCTGGCCCAGTGCTGGCTGGCTGTGGATGGCACAGAGCACAGCTCTTTCCCCACAGATGGGCACTGTTACCCTGCTGAGAGGAATTCAGTGCCACTTCCTGGGTTTGTGGCTACTCTGTGAGTGTTCCTGAGGTTGGGAAAGGGGCCCTGGGGCTGATTCCAGCACTGGGTGAGCGTCAGGGCCTGGCACTGCCAGCTGCTGCTTTGTTCCTGGCTCATAGAATCATGGAAAGGGTTGGGATGGAAGAGACCCTAAAGGCCATCTCATTCCAACCCCCAGGACACCTCCCACTAGCCCAGGTTGCTCCAAGCCCTGTCCAACCTGGCCTTGGACACTTCCAGGGATGGGGCAGCCACAGCTTCTATGGAATTACCATGAGCCTGGGTGTGTTTATGTGTAAATAAAAATTAGTGGGAGATCTGGATGAAAGGCAGCCAAAAATGTATTTTATTCAGAGCTGGTTTGTTGTTTTGGTTTTTTTTCCTTCATGAGCTTTATCCACAGCTGAATATTTTTCCAAGTCCTTCTCCTGTCCTCTTGTTATCAGCCCTGTGCTGTTGCAGCTAGGACTTCCACAGTGGTGATCACAGGGCAGGGAAATGTGGAAATTCAGGAGATTTAGCAAAAGGAATGAGCACAGTTCTGTAAAAGCCTGGGTTTGTAACATGTGCCTAAACACTCCTTCCCCTTCTCCACACCATTGCTTTGGCTTTATCCATTTATTTTATCACATAATTCCTTGTAGTTCTCTGCCTTTAACACCTCCCAGTCACTCTGTGTTTATTCTCCAAGGGAGGCTCTTTTTTTCTGCTGTAGGAAGGCTTTAATTTACCTGCAGCAGGTAAATTGTGCTTGTGTGACTGTCTTTGTCCTCACTCCCTGGAACCTGCCACCTTTCCCCTTCCCAGCAGTGATTTTACACCACCCAGGGGCTTATTCCTGAGTTCAAATCAAGTGCTTAACCCAGAGCAAGATCAAAACTTGTTTTGCCTTTCTCCTTCCTGCACAGTCATTATTGTTTCTCAGGCAGCAAGAAAATACAGAGTGACTCACTGATGTGCAAGACATAGCCAGAGCCTTCCAAATCACAATTGTGGGCTTGAGGGAAAGCTCTTCACTCCAGCACTCTATTAATAGACTTGAAATGGTGTGGGAATGTGTAGCCTGCTCAGGTTCCCTGGATGCTGCTGGGCATCGGGGTCAGTAATGTCTCCATGCTAGCGGAATCTTTTAGGAAGTTCAGCACCCAGGGGATGTGTGGGTTCATCACAGCTGTTCTCTTCCCACCCAAAAAGGGCTGGGATCTTACAGAAATGTGTATTCCTTCTCGTTTTTCAGTTCCTGAAAGGTTATAGGTGGCACTTCACGGGCCCAGGTAAAGGGAGTGAGGTGTCCCCAGCACTTCGGATTCTGAGGACAAGGGAGCTCATTTGAAAGGTGGATGGGGTGAACTGTGCTTCACATTCATCTGGAGAGGTGGCAGCATCCAGGGAAATCCCTAGCCAGCTTTAGAAGTCAGAAACAGTTTGAAGAAAGATTAGATCCCAGTATCCCATGTGGAACCCTTGGATCGAGGCATTTTGGGCCTCCCTGAGCTTTGGAACAGATTCTTCTTAGCAGGGGAGGAGCTGTGTCCCCAAATGTGGCATCTGCTCGGCATTTCAGCTCTCCTGTGAGAGCAGAACCAGCGAATTCTGCTCCTCTGGGAGCAGATCCAGCGAATGCTGCTCCTGTGAGAGTAGAACCAGTGAATCCTGCTCCTGTGAGATGTCCCAGGGGTCAGTGAAATGCCAACCCCCTGTTTTCACAGTGCCCAGTGCTCCCAGCTCTGTGCCCACAGGGGTTTGGAGGGCTCTGTGCTCTCCTGGACCTGCAGCTTCTGGCTGCTCATCTGCTGAGGGAATTGCTTTGGGTTGGATTTTAATTCAAATACTGGGAAAGAGCACAGCTGTCCTGGCTCCCCTGGCCTCCCTCAAGGGCCTTG